CAAGGCGATTAACTATTCAATTACTCAATTATTTCTTTTTCGATTATTTGAACTTCGCACATTTAACTATTCAGTTATTTCGCGTTCCTTTTGGAAACTCACTTCGCTGTATATTCCTCTAGAGGCGTGATCTCTATGCCTGAAAACGAATATGTCTCTATCGGAGAAGGTACGTTTTCCGCATTCTCATCTGATGTCATGATGCGTGAGTTTCAAAGCATGTATTTCATCTCTAGAAGAATCCTTTTTCTGAGAAAAATGATTAACTGAATAGTTGAGCTACGTTTTTAATAATTGAATTCACGTTTCAGGCTTAACATATATCTATTCGCCATAAATTTTTCAGCTTTGTGCATCTGATATTCCCTAGTCACACCCATTCACCCCCGACTATTGAGAATTTTTCAAAGAATTCCAAAACTTTGAAGCAGCGTTTCTGAAGATAATCCTGTGCAGCAGCTAGTCGCTCGTCGGCGCCCCCTTCAGGGCGCCACTCGTGGCTAGCTGCTGCCATCTCCGACCTTATTCTGCCACGAAATAATTCTTTTCAATTCAACTCTATCAAATACCAGGCTTTTCTGACTTAACAAAACTGTTAGATTCATAACACGATTGCTCCAAATGAGCTACTCTGAACCAACAGCTTCGGATCATCTATTTCTAGTTTCTCTAACATAATTGTTTAGCCAATACATTAGTTTTATTATGGCTTCTAATTTGGAGTATCATAGTTGTCTATTCTTGATAAATGTAACTTTCACGGGAAAATCTTGTTAAACAATACTAGAATAGTTTGCAATATTAGCAACAGTCTTTCGACAGTATTTTCCTCAGGTACTTCTCACAGTAACTTGGTTTTTTATTGGAAAACATAAAAACAATCCTGGATTATTCTCCATTCATCTTGCGGATTGTAAGTTCGCTCACAAGATTCTTTTAACGCTAGTTTTGTCGACTAAAGCAGAGTATATGGACAAAAAAAGTCGTTTAACTCAGAAACCAGAGTCAATAAACAGGAATCGCTGAATGTTACACACCTCAGACGAACTGCCGCTGGTGTGTAAACAGTATTTTGTTACGGGACAACTTACGTAAAAATCCACAGCATTAGTTCACACTCCGATCCACACATACAACAATATGATGAAGACGGTAGCAAAACTAAACGACTACCGCAGACCCAGATTACACAGAAGAATTTTCCATACATCGAGTTTCACTTTTCTTGAAATCCTTTCTCTGAAAAAAAAGTCACTTTCCCCTCAAAAAATAATTCACAGACACAATTATAACTTGTTTGATACCAATGACTATTTGGATTTTTGCAAATCTGACTTCAGATTCGGATTTCCCGATCCCGATTTACTTTCGTCAACCTTTATAGAATATCGTTATTTTCTCAAAAAACCCTTCCCTTAACCCAAAAAGCTCAATTCAAAATTTTAAAAATCTGACTTTAGATTCGGATTCCCCGACCCCGATTACCCTTTGGTCGAGTTTTATACATAATATTAATAATTAATAATTAGTTTATAAGCGGTTAATAATTAATTAATAATTAATTTAATCTGACTTCAGATTCAGATTCCCCAACCTCGATTTCGTTTCGTGAACCTTTATGGGAAAAAGTTCATTCAGGATGTTTTTTTGACCTTGCACGGACATACACACACACACAAACCTTTTTTTTTCATATGACCCTCCCTACAGTCGAGGGAAAAACCAATTGAACTAGTGTCAACGAAAAAACCAGTCAACAAAACAGAATCAACACTGACAACCCGTACAAACATCGAAACAGATATATTTGAAAAGGATCATGATAACATCAATTAACATAAAGATATCTCCGAAATATCAATAGGAAACAAATTTATCATTAAAAATCACCACGTAAGACCAAAAAAACTCGAATACTTTTAAAAATCCAATTCAGTACGTACGAGACCTATCTTTCGAATCAAATTGATGCGAGTGTACACACACTTTCAGTACATATTCAAAGTATCCGAGAATCATATTAAATTCTCAGTAAACACAACTATATCATAAACACATACTTAAGGCTCGAGTCTTTGGCTCTTATAATTTTCTCTTCATGTGAGACTTCATCTAATTCAATGCAATTCAATTGAATTCCAAAATTGCCTGATGAGTCCCTTGAGCAAGGACGAAACCGGTCGTAAAACGCTTGGAATTCTTTCAAGAACCATACCCACCCACACCCACACCCACCCACACCCCACCCACACCCACACCCACACCCACACCCACACCCAAACCGTAAAAGTATTTCTTACGATATTTACAATTGCACTAAAATTTAAATCATTTCAATAAGAAGATTTAAACATCAATTGTATCGATATTAATATTTATATAATATATTTTAACCTTACACCGTCGAGGGTCAAGTGAGTCGAAGCGACGAACGTTACTTGTTAGATAGACAACTATCAATGATAAGCAAATTAGTCAAACTCATTCAAAACTAAAGTTGCAGGATTAAGAGCGATTATTGTCACATTGACATAGACGATTATCAATAACATCAATACCACCATCGTAAGAAATAGAATAAACAAAATGATAATAATTACGACGACAATCATCATCATCATCATTATCATCATTATCATCATCATCATCATCATCATCATCAAAACGAAGACGACCATTACGGAAAGGAAAACGAAAACCACGATCATAACCATCAGAAGTACAAGTTGCATCCTTACGCTTTGTATAATCCTTGTCATCACCATTAGGACGCCAGTACCAATCGCGGCAGTGACCACATTCGACACAAGCACGTCCATTGCAATTAAGTTTCTTGTTAGAGTATGGCGATTTACTTTTGGATTCGGAGGAGTTGGGCTTTTCTAAACAAAGAATTTCATTTTGTATAATGACTCATAAAAAAAAAGAATAAGTGCTAATATATTCATTACAGATGCAGGATTGTCTAAATTAACAGAAGAGAGAACGTATGATAGCAGTATTCATCAGCAGAACTAATGATGATCATCTTCCACCAAAAGAGACGATCTAGAAAAAGAAGAATTCGAACTCTTCTTTATCTTCTATCAGCAGCGGGAAAGCTAGTCAATTCCTTTTATGCTTGCAGTATGAGTTCAGCCAATTTCATCCGGCGTAGTATTGACTCTCTGAGTACTACGGCAATTTCGTTTCTCAACTTATAGTATTAGCTACCTCTCAAAAATGAAATAATTCGAGCGAGTGTTACAACTCCAAAACGCAAAGGTAAGAAATTTAAATAGGATGTGTGGTTTACTCATCGAGAATCTGTAAAATCGTTCTTTTTCATTCGACTACGGTTCTTATCTGGTTCCACTCTCGATTTTAAAATAATCTTCTCACAATCCTAGACTCTGCAATAGATAAAAGATATGTATAGCTGACCTTGCATTGATGTCACTTCAAGAGTCCATTTCGATATCACATACTAAGGATCTGCAGGATTATGAGTGCTTTTATCAAAGATAGACGCAAGAAAAGTTTTTCCAACACTACGACTAAACGTTTACATCTTTCTTCAATTTCGACAGAGGTGGGCTCATAAAGAATTTTTCAAATGCAAGTGTAGCGAAAATTCCACTCGAAAATCAGAATTTTCAGTACAATCACTTAGAAATGCGTGTTCAAGACTGTTCCCACACAATTATCGAGTATACATAGGTGCATTTTTATCTGCGTTCGAGGGATAGAAGAAATTTGTTGTTTAGTTCATCTTCAAAGAACAGAAATAAGTGCCTGACCTCATTTTATTGTAATATGTTCTTTCTAGCAGAATGCGAACTGATGAAACCGTTTTTCTGCTCTCAAAATATGTTCGCTTTTACGTCAAAACTATTCCAGTGACAGCACCCAGTAAAGTTGCAAAGGTTTAATTTCTATCACCGCTCAATCAAGCTTTCGACTCATATTCGTTGGATTCAAAATCTTTAGTCTCGAGCCTAAACCATATACTTAATGCCAACGAGGTTCTTTTATCAGAATCTGGCAGTCGCTTCGATGTCATAAGATACCTAGTGAATTCTGACAGTGATCTAATGATATTCAAACCACTACTGAATTTGCTTTTGCGGTGAGTTCTATCTGGTCAGATTTGGACATTGTAAACAAGGGATTTTAGACCTGGCGGATACTACTTGTGATCATGTATAGGGACAAGAAAATTTGTTCCTTTATATAGAGGACCACTGAAGTGACTCGAAAGATTGGTCGAGTCATGTTCCAAAATAAGCTGTTGAATAGTTATTGACAGTCGCCACTAAATTAATTTTAACACAAACAATTAAAATATCCCAGGATCGGGAAAACGACCTCATTCAGCCTTGTCTTTTAGAGAATTTAAATGCGTGTACCAGTGCCAAATCCTCGAGTATAAGTACTTGCAATACTTTGTTCAGCTCTCATTTCGCACGAATTTCAAACTTTCTTCGAATATGAACAACTAGAACAGCAGAACTAAAAAGTTCATAATGAAAATAGCAAAGAATAACACAAAAGCAATTGTAATTGGAGAAAAAATTTATTTGGTATTGAATCAAACTTCTGTTTATTGTGTTTCACCAAATGGAAAACCTATGTAATTTGTCGAATAGTTCATACTCTTGAAATGAGAAGCAGATTTTAAAAAAAAAGTATTTATCGTAAATAAAAATAACCAATTTGCAAATCCCGACTCATAAAATAATAATATAAAACAAACTATATTGCCTAATTGTTTAAGAAAAAACTACTAGAACTAAGCTGAAAAAATATTGGTTCTGATCCCGCCCACTGAAGAACTAAGACTGAGGCCCAGGTCATTTTATATACCCTTACTAGGAAATGCGAATTTCGCAGTGCTGACTTTCGCAGTGGACTTCTTACAATCGCCAAAGGCTGTTTTTTTTGTTGGATTTTCGCCCAATACCGAACTGTAATTTCGGCAATAGCTAATAGACCAGTTATGTAAATAACGAAAATACAATAAAAGCATAGCTTTAATCAGTAGTAATTAATTTATTTGCTAATCATTGAACTATCGGCAACATATAATTTAACGTTGCCTGTAATACAGGTGGCTTGCAGTGCAGGTCACTTGCAATGCAAGCCATGTGCATTGCAGGCCATCTGAATTGGAAGCCACCTGCATTGAGGGCAACGTCAAATTATATGTTTCCGAATTACAGTTTGGTATTGAGCGAAAATCCAACAAAAAACACAACTTATGGCGATTGCTGAAAGTCCATCGCGAAAGTCACAACTGTAAAAATCATGCTATTCAACTTGCCTTGTTTTCAAGATGCTTGCACGAGTGGTTCTGGTGTGACACTTGTTGACGCATAGTTTTCTTGCTTTGTTAGAGCTTTGAATACGTTTAAGAATGGTTTGAATTGTGACAGCATCGTTTTTAATTGGCTACGATCAAAAGGATTGTCAAGCATTTTAAATGGTGGTGAAATTTCTCGGAGATAAATTCTGTGCAGGCCATCAGGTCGACTCACGTTGTCAATTACTTTGAGATAAATACCGGGTGGAAGGAGAATTTCATCTTCATTGTCAAAAGATGAATGTGCACGTATATCTTTTCCACTGCTGGTTTGAATAGAAAATATTGTTCCTGTGCCTGTTTTTCCCAAATACTTTGGAACTTCAAGAACGCTCATCGAAGCGGTGCAAGAGCTGAATGTCCACCAAGCGAATTCCTTGTCTTTTGGATAAAGATCACTGAGGTGTTCGCGAGCGCCACACCACACAAGTGTGTGTTCGCTTGGTCTAATACGGATGAAAAAACATGAAATATGATGATGCATAGTTTTCACTCACGGTAGTTTGAAGAAAGCTGTTAGGAACAGCTTTAAAAACTTGAACCACGGCTGAAGTTTTGTGCGATCCGCTAGTAGAAGAGTTCGATTCAACGCAATGTATAGACTATTCTCATGGATATTCCATTCTGTAGTGTATAGATGAATCGAAGCTGACTCATCAGGACTGAGCCCATCTTTGGGCTGTGTTGAATTCATTTTGGCTATGGTAATATAGTCCTTTAATTTTTGATCGAATAAATCTTTTATTGGTTGACAAGCATCATCAAGCGATGTTACAGTGACCTTCTGGTAGCCGGATATTGGGAGTAGCATCTGATTTGATTCTCCACTAACGCTTTCTAAAAGACGATAATTAATGCTGAGAGCGGTAGTCATAGGTATATTTGTGCGTCTCGTTTGAAATTCGATGTAAATTTGAATACTGTGTTCTACTGCAACAAATGTACTTTAAAAACAACAAGTTGTGCAAATAAATGACAAAATAACATTCAGGGGATGGAAGCTTTACGTATTTCTCTGTTTTGCTTCTATACAGTAGACGTTGCCTTCACCATCGACTTATATGTGCACTGTGACGAAAAAAACAAATACTATACGAACGAACACTGCATAGTGTCGCTTAAAGCATTTTCTTCTATAGTTTCGTAATTTTTCTTTTTTCTCTTTTCTCATTTCAACCTACGTCAGCTTGTTTTTCATGAATTCTTTTTCTAGTAACGTTTTAAAGCAGTACAATCATTCAAGAGAAAATACAGACGCCAACATGAAGGCACAAGAAATTCATTAATGTGGAAATTTAATTGGTGGGGTGTGTGGGGTGGGTATAGATGAAGGTGTAGGATGTGGGTGTGAGATGTGTGCGGTGTTAACTTTTCTTTATCCATACGTACAAACACATTCATACCCACACCCACAGATACATCCATCCATTCTTTCGACACGTTAGATGCTAGCTATTTTGAAGACTATAAAAGAGTATTAAACATCAATGGACCGAATATAAAGCTGAGGATCAAGCGAGACACACCAATGAGCATTACTTGTTGTTATATATGCAAATGTTATAGTGGCTTTTTAATTTATTGAACTTTTGATTCCTTTTTATCTCAAAAAGAAAAAATAACGCTTTGTACTCTTCTGCATCAAGACATTTTCTTCTAAACCAAAATCAATTAAAATGTGTGTTATAAACCTGGATTGAGAATTTTACAATATCAAATTGTTGATTTATGTTCCTTTTTCTTTGGTTATTTTTCCCTCAACGGCTACATTATATCCTGAAATTTTCATGTTATTTGGCCATATCTGGAATGAGATTGCTTTCTCAACTTATAGTTATGATTGTTTTGGACAGAAAACTATTCTATCAGTCATATCAATCATGATTAATTTGTCTGTTTCTAAACTATTATTCTTTTTCATAAATTATCATTAGATTATTCATGTTCCATTCTCATAAGCATCGTAATTTTTCAAAACCTTTTTTTTCTTCTTGTTAATCATTCAACTTGAATGCTTTGATACGTATATGAGTCTCATGACGTATATATTTTAGTAAGAGTCTATTATTAAGTTAAATTCGTTATTAATTATCTGACAATTTCAAATTATATATAGCATATAATAAAATTGAAAAGCATCCAATTAAGTTATATTTATTTGATTTGACAAATGTTATTCATTCATAATTTAGATTTATATAAAATATATAATTACTATTTATTCATACGAGCAAAGTATAACATACTTATGATCTGATTTTCAAACAAATCAAAATCTTCTGTTATATTTGAATGAATAAATTTATTTCTAATCTATACAAAATTTGAATTAGAAAATATTTTGTTCGAGTTTATTCTCTAGAATCGATACATACACCCAAAGTACATCTATAGAAATATGTTTTTATTCATCAGCTGAAAACCTGTTTTGTATGAAATGGATGAATAGTTTATGTAAAAGTTAAGAAATAAATATTGACCTTGAATTCTTTTGACATTTATCTAGGCAATAACTAACAAGGTAACTTTTTATATGAGTACTTATACCAAATTAATTCAATCATCAATTTTATACATAAAAATAAAATATTGACATCTCGTCAAAATTTATATTTATATTTTCTTCGTTGATGAATATAATTGACTATATTGAAATACACTCATGAGATTCTATCGGAAAGATTTATGTCAAATTATGTTTGATGTCAATTTTATGATATGTTACTAATGGCTGATTTTTTTAAAGTACCAACGACTATTTTTTGAATAACTCTTTATCAGTTTAAACTATGGAACTGCGCTTTTCGCCACTCGATAGAGCAAGGTGAGGGACATCTACCTATATGAGGTTCTTTGGGGTCGTGACTTTTTATCATAGTTATATCGGAATTCGAATCTCCTTCGATGTCTCATTCCTATAATCTTCCGGGTCATTTCGGATCAAATTATGCCATATTGTAG